TCCGTGTCCAGGACTAACAGTGCCAGCCAGACGCTAGGCAGGACCCTGGCTGGGGCTCCGGGCTCAGGAGACACGACAGGGCCGTGAGGTGTGGCCAGACGTAGGGCTGCCCTGTGCCTGGTGGACAGGAGGAACCAGACTGCAGATGGACGTGCCAGAGCTGGCCGCAAAGCCCAGATGCACTCAAGGGATGGGAACTCAGAGGGAGGAGACTGGAGCCCCTCACTCTGTCACACAGGGGAGTCCCTGGCCCTGCTGTCCCCATGGACCCCGGAGCCAGGGCCCAGGGTGAGGACACAGGTTTGGGGGGGGGGCAGCGTGCTGTCCACCGCTCAGGATCCAAGGCCACCGAGGCCCCTTCACCGCGCCTGGCACTCCTGAGTGGCCGGCAGCCCCCGGGGAGGCGTGCCATGCACTGATCAGGGCACTGACCATGGCGTGTGGGGTGGGCCACGGTCTCCAGCCATGAACCACCTTCCACGGGGCCATGTCTGCGGCTGACCAGGTGACTTGGTGTCCCCAAGCCCCCGCCTGGGCCTCCTTAGGGGCAGGGGCAGACGCAGGCGCACACAGAGGGTCGAGACTGGGTGGTCCTGGACAGGGAGCCGGGCCAGCAGGACAGGACAGTGGGGTCTGTGGCTGGACCCGGCCCATCTCGGGGTGCTGACTGGCCGCCCGCTGAGTACGCTGAGTCTGGGGGCAAGGGGGTGGGACACTGACCCCTACTCTGCCAGGCCCTGCGAGCACCCCCACCCGAGCACCCCCACCTTCCGTGAAGGCTGCGGTGGGCAGGAAGGGGTGGCGGGAAGGAAAGGGGGGGCCGGCTCCAGCAGGCCCCTGGGACTCCCCTGTTCCATTCACACATTCTGAGGCAGGGAGGTGAGAAGAGGAGGGAGCCGGAGGAGGCGAGCGGAAACAGCTGAGACAGCTCCCGGCTGGCCACTGCAGCACCCCCAAGCCTCAGGGGGCCCCCAGGCCCCAGGTAAGACCCTCAGGACAGGAGTGCGGGGTCTCAGGTTGACACGGGCCGGCCCTGAGCCCTGCCTGGTGCGGCCCCGAACCAAATTAACGCAACAAAACGACAAAATTCCTGCACCGGCTCAGGCCCTGGGCTGCCCGTCCCTGCCCTGGCTGCGGGCTGCCAATCTGACCCCTGCAGCCGCCCAGGACTCGGGAGCCCTTGCAGGTCACCCTCAGCCTCCTGCTGCCTTTGGAGATGCGGGTGGGCGAGGGAACCCTAATGGCTTCTTGGGTTTTCCCCGCATGCAACCCCCAAACGCAGCCCAGATGAGGGGACCCCCCACCTTCCAGGGCCCCCACGTGATGGCCCCAAAGCATCTGGCTGTGCTACTGGGGCCCCACCCTCAGGCACACACCCCCACGAAGCACCGAGCCCCCCACTGAGGAAGCTCAGCCTGCAGGGAGGGGCTGGGCAGGACAGAGAGTGGTCAGGGGGCGGCCTTCAGGGTGGGCTTCAGGGAGGAGCAGGACTGGGGGCTGTGGTGCTGCCTCAGGAAGCTGGGGTCTGGTAGGGACCTGACCTGACGGGACCCACCAACAGGGGGTGCAGCCCGGAGGCTGAGGACACGGAGCCGACAAAGCCCCCCCACCCATGGGACATGCCCAGAAGGACACACCAGTCCTGCAGGTGTGGGAAAAGTCGGGGGGACGTGGGTACAGCATCCAGTTGGGGAGCCCCGTGTCTGCCCAGGCTGCCGGACGTGGGCAGACGGAGGCCGGGGGCCACCCTGTCTCCTCTTCGGTCACAGGGAACCCGGCCCATGGTTCTCGGGGACATGCCACCCCATTGCCCTGCAGAGATGAGATAGGCCAGGGACGGGGGTCCAGCACCTGCTGCCCCAACAATCCAGAAACCTTGCCGTGAACCCCCACCTGGGGTCTGTCCCCCATAGTTACACCCCACCAGGGGGTTCTGTACCCCTACATGCCATGTGGGAGTCTTACCCCTGGCTATAGACCATCTGGAGGATGTACCCTGTTGCTATACCCTATCTGGGGTTCTGTGCCCCAAGCTACACCCTATCTAGGGGTCTGTACCCCATGGCTACACCCCACCTGAGGGTCTGTATCCTGTAGCTACACCCCACCTGGGAATCTGTACCCCAAGCCTACACGCCATCCTGGAGTCTTACCCCTGGCTATACCCCATCAAGGGGTGTATCCTGTGTTTACACCCCACCTGGGGGTCTGTACCCTGTGCGTACACGCCATCCGGGGGCCTGTCCTCGTGACTACATCCCATCTGGGGGTCTGTCCGTTCCCCGTGACTACACCCCATCTGGGGGTCTGTACCCTGGTTGCACCCCATCTGGGGGTCTGTCCCCCGCGATACACCCCACCTGGGGGTCTGTGCCCTGGTTACACCCCATCTGGGGGTCTGTCCCCCACAGCTACACCCCATCTGGGGGTCTTGCCCCTGGCTATACCTCATCTGGGGGTCTGTCCCCCATGGCTACACCCCACCTGGGGTCTCACCCCTGCCTCCCCCACCTGCAGTCTGGAAGTTCCCAGGGTGCACAGAGGCAATGGAACCCTCCCCCAACCAGCTCCAGCCTCTGCTCAGAAGCCCCCCGCACAGGTGCCTTTCACCAGCCCCCTCCTGCGTCCCAGCAGGGGCTCAGGTCCCCACACGCCCCCTGCATGCACGCACACCCCCTCCGGCCTCTCCAGGAGAAACCCGGCCCCCCTCGGCACCAGCCGCTGAGACACGCAGCCTAGCAACGGTTGCCAGGGCTCCCCGAGGCGGCCAGACACCCAAACTCCAGTTCCCGGGAACAAAACAAACGCCCCCCCCCCCCCGCGGAGGCAGCGCCCCCCAGCACCAACCTCGCTCTGCGGAAGCGGAACAGCCCATGCCTGGCGCACCCCGCGCCCGCCGCCGCGGTGCAGGGAGGGGCCGGCTCACCCGCTCGCCCCCCGCTGGCCACCCACCGGCTCGGACGCCTGCTCCCCGGCTCCCTGCAGCCGGCTCTGGGGGTCTGTGCCCCGCGGGGGCCATGGCCAGCCGGGCGCGAGCCGGCTGGACTCACGGGGCGGCTGACCGGACTCGGCCACCACCGTCAAGGGCACAGGAGGCGGGTGGGGGGTCGACCATGGGGGAGGGGGTGTCCGGGAGGGGGCGGGGAGTCCAGCAGCCTCTGCACCCCGGAGACACGCTCGCTCGCCTTTAAAGGGGCAGGCCCTCTGCACAGTGCTCCCTCCCGCGCGGGCTCGGGTCCGCCCCTCAGCTGGCCGCACTGTCCCTGTCCCTGTCCGGCGACTCCCCCGAGCCACACCCAGCTCTGGGGCTCCAGCTGGGAGGCAGAGAGCCGAGTGTCTCAGAGGCTCCAGCGAGGCTGCCCGTGGGTGGGGCCCACAGGGCAGGACGTGGCTGTGGACGGTCCCTCTCCCCGGCCCCGGCAGGCTCCCGCCACTGCTCCCCGGTCTGGAGCCCACACACAGGACGACGCACGGCACCCACACCCCAAACTCTCCCAAGCTGCAGGGGCAGCTGAGGCCTCGCAGAGAGGCTGGAGCTGAGGCCGGGGAGAGGCCGGATGGGCACGCGCCCCCCGGTTCCCCTTGCCCTGCCCGCTCCTGCGCCCTGGACAGCTGGGGTGCAGGGCCTGGGGACCCCACAACGTGGCCTCACAGGTAGACCAGGCTTAGCAAGGGGCCCCAGAGTCCATGACCCCCGCCCTGGTCCAGTGACCCCATGCCCCCGGGGCGACCCAGGGGGTGCTGTGAGGGGCCCCAGCGTGCCCCGATGCTCCCTCCCCAGGAGCCTGCGGGACTGACAAGGATCCCGTGTGCTAGAACACGTGTGTTGGGGGGCCGGAAGCTCCCCACACACACAGAAACCACTGGGATTTCCACGGAAAAGGAACCACACCAGTAGGGGTCCAGGCATTGGGGGTCCTGTACTAAGGGTGAGGGTGTTGGGGTCCACATATTAAGGGTGAGGGTGTTGGGGCCCATGTATTAAGGGTCAGGGTATTGGGGGTCCACGTATTAGGGATCAGGGTGTTGGGGGTCCGCATATTAAGGGTCAGTGTGTTGGGGTCTGTGTGTTCGGGTCCAGGTGTTGAGGGTCTGGATTTTAGGGGTCTGGGTAACGGGGGTCTGAGTGTTGGGGTCCGGGTCTAGGTGTTGTGGCTCCGAGTGTTGGGGTCTCAGTGCTGGGGGTCCACTGGGGTAGCATGTTGGGGCCCAGGAGTTGGGGTCTGGGTGTTTGGGGCCAGCCCGGCCAGGTGGGGGGCAGCTGTGACCGGCTCTCGTCTCCTTCCCATCCCCAGAATCCCTCAGGCCCTGCCTAGCTCCGACCACGCGGAAACCTTAGCTGGAAGCTTCGATGGCCAGCGGCCCTGTCCAGTCCCCGTGACCCCCTCTGCTGCCCGCTGGGTTTCAGGGGCTGGTTCCCCCGGGAGAACCAACCCCCCACCCCAGCAGGCAGGCTGGCAGGGAGCAGGCGGGCGAGCGGCAGACAGGCTGGCACGGGGCCCTGCCTGGCGGGGCAGACGCGGGCAGCGGGGACCAGCCACGCAGCACAGGCAGTATGCACAGCCAGCCGAGCCCACCGACGCCACGGCGGCCACTCCGCTCACCACTGCCGCTCCACTGCGGCCGGTCGCCGCCGCCGCTCCGGTGCCCGCCGGCGGCCGCAGGGGACGGGCCGGCCGGCTCCTCCGGGATGCGAGATGGGGCCCAGCCGCCAGCAGCGGGGCCCCGGGCGCGAGGAGGCGCCCCAGAGACGGTCCTCCTGGTGGGCACAAGGGGGACTGGGAGGGGGAGTGGTCATGAGCACGGCGGCGGACGGGCACCCGGGACGAGGAGGCAGCTCGGCCCGACACTGGCTCGGCCCGAGGGGGCACGGGACCCCCCTAGGAGAGGAGAGTGGCTCTTCCGGGCGTGGGACACTGCCCGTCACGAGACCCCCCCCCACGCCTCATCCCCACGGGCAGACACAGCGGGCCCCGCCGGCGTCCCCCGCGGCCACTCACCCACATCCGTCTCCTTGTGGTTCTTGATGTAGTCGGCCAGCTCGAAGTTGCCCGCGATGATGGCCACCTGGGGGGGACGGTGAGTGTCAGAGAGGGCCGTGAACCCACAGGCCACCGTGCATCCTAGGCGGGTGGACGCCCCCTCGTCCACGGCTGGAATGAGCCCACGGCTCTGTCGGTTCCATTTCCCTTTGCTCCTCCTCATCCTCACTCACACCATCCTCCGAGTGTGAAGTGGGCGGCCTGGGGCCCCTCCAGAGTGAGGGGACACTCGGCCTGAGGGTCACCCCGGGGTGACGGGCAATCGGCCCGAGGAGCACTGCTGGACTGAGCGACTCTCACCCCGCATGGCACAGTCTGATGGCCCATTCCCGGGTGGCCCCACGCAGCGTGACCGGGGCAGGCTTCCCGAGGTCGCCCTGGCCACGCTGGCCCTGAGCAGAATGGAGGCGGCCGGCTGAGGACATGCACACACCCTCCCCCCCACACACACACACGCCTGGCAGTGTCCTGCAGGGCTCCCGGTCACATGACATGGGGATCAAACTCAGGGCTCCAGCACCGGCAACCCTGGGCGTCCCAAGGAACGGAGAACCCAAGTTACCCACAGGGGCGCTGAAGAACACGCCAACCCCATATCTGGAGGTGGTTTGGTGTTTGTTTAGTTTGGGGCCACATCTGGCAGTGCTCAGGGCTGACTCCTGGCTCTGTGCTCGGGGCTGACTCCTGGCTCTGTGCTCGGGGCTGACTCCTGGCTCTGTGCTCGGGGCCTACTCCTGGCTCTGTGCTCGGGGCTGACTCCTGCCTCTGTGCTCGGGGATGACTCCTGGCTCTGTGCTCAGGGCTGACTCCTGGCTCTGTGCTCGGGGCCTACTCCTGGCTCTGTGCTCGGGGCTGACTCCTGCCTCTGTGCTCAGGACTGACTCCCTGGCTCTGTGCATGGGACTGACTCCTGGCTCTGTGCTCGGGGCTGACTCCTGGCTCTGTGCTCGGGGCCTACTCCTGGCTCTGTGCTCGGGGCTGACTCCTGCCTCTGTGCTCAGGACTGACTCCCTGGCTCTGTGCACGGGACTGACTCCTGGCTCTGTGCTCGGGGCTCACTTCTGGCTCTAGGCTTGAGGAACCCTAGGAAGTGCCAAGACTCTAACTGAGGTTGGCCATGTGCAAGGCCAGTGCCTTACTATCTGTCTCTCCAGCCCTGGGAATCGCTTTGAAATTGGGGTCACAGCAGGTGGTCTCAAGACCACCAAGGGACGGGCAATGCCAGGGATGGGCCTCGGAGCGTGTGCTGGGCCCTGGCAGGGTCTCTGCCACCCGAACTCCTCCCCGCCCCCTGGAAGCCCAGGGTCGTTCAGGCTTGGCTCCCAGACACGGTCTTGGCAGCTACGAACCCCAGGAGACGCGGGGTGGGGGCAGATGTCCCAGGCAGGGCCGTGTCCCTCTGGGCCAGAGACCAATGTTCATTCTCAGGCTGCAGTGGTCAGGGGCGCCAGGACAGAGGACCCACACCTGGGCAGCAGTGTCCAGGGGCAGGGTAAGCACGTGGCCTCTGCTCCCGGCTCCTGGCAGGATGCAGGGGGCACTTCCTGGGGCTTACAGGGGCACCTCGACAATGGTAGGGTCGTGAGGGAGGAGAACCCCCAATTTCTGTGCCCAGAAGGTGGCCACCGGCCAGGGCACGGGCAGTCCAGTAGAAGCTGCGGAGGCCCTGGGACTACTCTCCAGTGGCCCTGAGACACCAACCATGCTCTCACTTCAGTGCTCTCTTTCCCAGGAGAGTCAGAACAGAACTGCCGTCCATGTCCTCCACCTCTGGGGTTCATTAAGAGTACCCCGAGAACTCCCCAGCCCCAAGTTGGCTATTTTTTTTTTTAGCTTTTTGGGTCCCACCCAGCGATGCTCAGGGGTTACTCTTGGCTTTGCACTCAGGAATTACTCCTGGCGGTGCTTGGGGACCATCATATGGGATGCTGGGGATTGAACCCGGGTCAGCCACGTGCAAGGCAAGTGCCCTCCCCTCTGTGCTATCACTCCTTACCCCGAGTCGGCTTCTTACACTGCGCGGGACCCTACGGGGGTCAAGGCACTGAACTGGGGGATAGTATGGGAGAACTGGCCATGGCAGGAGGCCTCTGGGCCGCACGGGGCAGAAGTGAATTTCAAGTCCACTGCAGCAGGACCCTGAGGTGACCTGGCAGTCCTCGCCCGGCTGCATTCCCCAGCACAAAGGGGTTGTGAGTGGAGGAGGTTCAGGGCGCTCAGCCCAGAGCCCTCGGAAACAGGTTACATAAGGCACGCTCCCCGTCCCCCCCTCCCAACCCTCACGCACGCGGCTATTATCGGAGGCGCGTCTCACCTGCCAAGACGGAGGGGAGGTACGTGAATTAGATTCAACACGAATAAATAACATCAAATTGCCTGTTAATACCCCAAGGAGAGAAACACAAAACAACCCCCGTCCCCGGCCCCCACACACAAGAATAATCCAACCCCCACCCTGAAACTGGAGATGTTTTAGTTTAGGACAAACTTGGAGCTGCTGACTTGAATTTGAAGGAGCGAGGAAAGTTCGGGAGAAAGAACAGAGCGAGGAAAGTTCGGGAGAAAGAACAGAGCGAGGAAAGTTCGGGAGAAAGAACAGAGCGAGGAAAGTTCGGGAGAAAGAACAGAGCCGGGGCAGCGTGGCGGGCGGCCAGGCCCCAGAGTCCGGGAAGTCCCTGGAAACCACGAATATACACACCTCTGGGGGGCACAGAGGCTGGCTTTGCACACCACTACCCCAGGCTCGATCCCTGGCACCCCTTGGGGTCCCCTATGCCCACAGGAGTCGGCCCTCAGCACCGTCAGATGCGGCCCCAAAGCAGAAGAATCATAAAAACTAGAAACCAGATCAGATCAAGTACGTGCCCCTGCGGGCTCCGGCCCCACCGGTGAGGCAGAGGGACAGACACTCTGTTTCGAGCACACCACCCGGGGCCTGGGGACAGAACTCCCACAGGAAGTGGGGACAGGGCCGAAGAGCCCATGTCCCAGCAGCCGGGCAAGACCGGGGACTCTCCAGTCACATACGCACCTGCCTTGGGGCGGGCCCCACCCCGCCCGGTGCCGCTCACACGGGCCACGTGCAGTGTCTGTGGTTCGGGACCCCCCAGGCCACCAAAGTGTGTGGCAACCGAGCATATGCCAGCGCCTGGGAGTAAAGGGGGAGGGAGCGTGTCCCCATGACTAGTCAGGCCCACGGCTGGAGTGACGCCTGTTCCATGTGGCCACGGCACAGGGGAGCCGGGGGCAGAGCTGCCATGGGTGGCCGATATAGCATCCAGTGGCTCCTACAAGCCCGAACCCCTTACGCGGGGCATGGCAGGCTCCCGCTGGGCCGAAGACACACGCGCATTTCCGTGTCACCTGAGCAGGCGTCACTGAGTGTCTCTGGGTGACTGAGTGACTCGGCTGTCACGGAGACAGGCAGAAGCCCCTGCTAAGGCCCCTGAGGCCGGCTGCAGTGACAGCTCATGCCAGCTTCTCCGCGGATGCTCCCAGCCTTGCTCCCGCCCCCAACCTTGCCCCCTACTCCTCGGACCCTCGGCCCTGCCCCTGTGCTGAGTCTCGGTCCCCGGGCAGGATGGGTGTCCTGGGCTGTCGGGAGTCTGCCTCTGTCCATCTGTCCGTCTGCATGTGGATTCATGAGCCATACCCTCCTGCAGGCTGGCTGAAGCCCGTGACATCTTCCCTGTCCCAGAATGGGTCCGGGGATTGTCCCGGCTGCCCAAGGTGAGGGGCGGGGGGTACCTGCTCAGTGCTGCCACCCAAGGGGGTCTGGGCCTGCGGTGTGGGAGGGCGACAGGGGGGGGGTCCCAGGAACCAGGAAGCAGGGGGAGGGGCCAGGGCCCTTGCTGGAGCCACAGGAAGGGACAGAGGAAGCTGGACAACGGGCCATGGCCAGCCCCAGACACAAACAGGACAGGACAGATGCCCCCAGCTCAGAAGAGGGTACCGGTGCCCCCCTGAGGCCCTCAGACTCAGGAGCCCCCACAGCCCGTCTCACACCGGGCCCCATGGCAGGAGGGACAGGCTGGAGGGCAAGGTGGAGGTCAGGGGTCAGTCTGAGACGGCCGAGGGCGCAGGGACAGGCTCAGAACTGGTCACTGCAGCTCCGATCCCCTCCGCACCCCAGGCTGGGCCGGAGGCAGCCGCCGTCTACACCCGCCCACAGCAGGTTGGGGCCTGGATGGGGCACACGTGGGGTGCGGCCAGGTCACAGAGAGGAAGGGGCCCCAAGACCGCCAGGGAGACATTCCCAGAGCCCCGACTGTCAGGGAGAAACGGGAAAAGTCAGCGAGGCCTCAGGTTCAGTTCCTGGAACTGAAACAGTTTCTGTTTCCCAGCAAGGAAACAATGTGTGACTAGCAGACCTGAACCCACCGGGAGAGTTCCTGGGCCCAGCAAGCCGGCTCCATCAATCACTCTGCCCAGAAAGGTAAAGAACCAGCAGCTCATGTAACCACAAACCGTTGCTGGAAACTATTGTTTCACTGTTGCCAAAGTGCTCGCTTAGCTTTGAGCCCTATATAAACCGTTTGAGCGTCAGGGCGCTGGCCACTGGTCAAGACTGCCCTGTGTGGGATGGGACTTGGGCCCCGGCCAGAGCCAGCAATAAAGTTCCTTTGCTTTGCGTTTTCGCGTGTGGACTTGGTCTCTCCGCTCTGGGGATCTGAAATCCGGGCACAACGGGACCCCCTCTGGCTGGAGAGAACCGGAGCGCAAGGACTCATGTGCGGGGTCCCAGGTGTGACTGGCCCAGCCCCAGCCGCAGCCGGACACAGCGGGGCTGGGAACAGGGGTGGGCCTGGGTGTCACCGAGCCACCTGTGAGATCTGCTGGGGGCTCCGGGTCCCAGGGAGGGGGTTCCCAGTCCTGAGGGTCAGAGTACCGGGGCTGGCCAATATTCTGGGGGGACAGGAGGCATTTCCCCACGCTGAGCCCCCACAACCCGTCCCGGGCAGGGTCTCCGGGGAGGAGCTGGAGCCGACTGGCAGCGCCCGCCCACGTGGGATGGGGACGCCGCAGCCACCGGCCTGGTGGGTGCCGCGTGAGCCAAGGCCTGCTGGACTGTCCTGCGTCCCCCTTTCCGTCCAGAATGGCGGCCAGGGCAGCCCCAGCCCGTCCGCACAATGCAAGATCAGGGGAGGGCCCTCGCACCCGCAGCATGGGTGGGCCGAGAAACAGAAGCAGAGACAGCGCCCAGAGGGCCTGCAGCCTCCCTCTGACTCCCCCACCCCGCCTCCTCTCACCTCCCCCTGCCTCTCCCCACCTCCCCTCACCTTCCCCTGCCTCCCCCACCTCCCCCTGCCTCTCCCTGCCTCCCCCTGCCTCCGTCCTACATCCCCTACCCCCCCCTGCCTCCCCCCTGCATCCTCTCACCACCCCTGCCTCCCTGTGGCCTCCCCGTCACTCTCCGCTGCCTCCCCCTGCCTCCCCCTGCCTCTCCCTGCCTCCCCACGACCTATCCCTGCCTCCCTGCAGACTCCTCCCCAACTCCCCCTCTCTCCCCGCGGCCTCCCCCCTGCCCCTCTGCTCCATCTCCTGCCGACACCCAGGGGGTGAAACAGCAGGACTTCCCTGGACACAGCCTGGTGGCCGTCGCCTCTACCCCAGCGACTCCCTGGGCCGCAGGGCTGCTGGGGGCCACACACGCACCAGAGCTGGAGGCAGCGGCTGCGTTTCCTGTGCGTGAAAGCCCGCCCAACGGGACCGTGATGGCTCGGCCCCAGGAGCAGGTCAGGGCCAGCGTGTGGCGGGGCCACGGCCCGGGCCCCATCGGAAGGTGTTTCCCCGCCAGTGACGACCCTTGGCCAGCACGGGCACCACGAGCTGGGGTGGGCATGGGCCTCCCGTGAGGCACGTGGTGGGCGCAGACTCGGCTCTTCCCAGGAGCCTCTGCGGCCTGGAGACCCCCCCCAGGCCCCCAAGCGAGATGCAGCCACGGCCAGGCCCGTGTCCAGGTTCCAAGTGTGTTTCTAGGACTTGCAGCTTTGCCAAACCCCAAAACCCCAGCGAGGGGAGCGGTCCTTCCTCATCACGCCTGCAAGAAAGCTGCCCCCTGCCCCCCGTGTGGCAGACAAGCCACATGGACACGTGTGTCCTGTGTGTCCCGCAGAGGCCAGGCCAGGGAGGGCCACGGGCACGCGGGAGGATGGAGGCAGGTGCTGAGGGGCAGGGTCCCAGGGTCCCCACCCACCTGCCACCGTGCTGCCGACTCCGTGAGCGAAAGACGGGGCACTAGAGTGACCGGAAGGGGAGGCGCGTGCCCCAAGGGTGCTGGCCATCCCTCCGGGCAGGGCATGGGGACCGGCCCTCCCCTGGGACCCTCCCTCCCCACGCACAGGTCATGCTACGGCGTGTCCTCTGCACCCCTGGAGACTGCCCGGGCCTGAGGCAAGGGGGGACAGGGAGGGGGCAGGGGTGTGGCTCGCGCAGTACCTGGAAGGGGGTCTGGCTGTTGTAGTTCTTCAGCTCCTTGTCTCCGCCCCGGAAGAGCAGCACCTTGGCGCAGCTGTCCTGTGGGCGGAAGGGACACTGGTGAGCCAGCCCTGCCGGCTCCGGGCGGCCTGGACGTGGGAGTCGCCGGCTCAGGTGCTCCCGGCCAGTGGCCCCGTCTGAGCCGTGCTGGGGACTCTGCTCTGGGTGGGGCTGGAGGGACACGAGTGCGTCTGAGAACACGTCCTCGGGACTCCTGGCGGAGTGGACATACAGCCGGGTGGCACCGGGAGCCCAAGGCCCCTGACCCCAGGGTCCTGGCCAGGCCTCCGCTGACCAACGGTGGCAGAAGGTGTTCCTGGCGTGTAAGGGGTGAGGTGCTGCAGGTGTGTGTACAGGTGTGTGAGTGTGTGCGTGTGTGTGCGGATACAGGTGTCATGCGCGGGTGTGTGTACGGGCAGAGGGTCACGTGTGCGCAGAGACAGGTGCTTGAATGTGTGTTTGGGTGTGTGTACAGTTACGGGTGTGTCCGCATACGCAGGGGGCGAACCCGTGTTCAGGGCTGTGCACACAGCTTTGAGTGCAGGTGGGTTGTACATGCAATATGGGCATGTGTGTAGGTATGATCACGTGCGTAGATGTGTATGTGCAGCTGTGTGTGTGTGTGTGGGTATAGTCAGGTTTGGGTATATATGCTGGTGTGTTCTGCAGGTGTGTGTGCCATGTATGTTCGTACATGTATGTGGTGTGTGCACGTGTGTGTTTGGGTGTATGTGATGTGAGTATGTGCAGGTTTGCATGTGTAAGTGTGTGTTTAGGTGTGTGTGGGGTGTGTGGGGGTGTGTGTGTGCAGGCATGCGTGTGCAGATACGCTTAAGTGTGTGGTATGTTTAGGTATCCACGGGCAGATGTGTGTTCAGGTGTGTGTGGTGTGTGCAGGGATGCGTGTGCAGATGTGTGTGTAGGTGTGTGCAGTGTGGGTGTGTGGGTGCGCACGTCGGGTGGTGCTCACACGTGTCTGTAGCTGAGAGGAGGTGAACCTGCTGCTTCTGACCGACCTCACAGTGGGGGTCACCCCCCACCAGGCAAAGCCCAGGGGGTCGCTTCCCCACGTATCACACTGGGGGCCTCGTCCTCGGCACCATCAACGCGTCAGGACAGAGGGGAGTTCGGACCCTGGGAGCGTCTGCCCCATCACTGACGCTGCTTCTGCTGAAGAGCGGCTGCCTCCCCCGCCCCAAGCACCCGGGCCACCCCGCGGCCCCCACCAGCACAGTGACACTATGGACAAGAACGACACTCAGTGCCCTCACTCAGGCCACCGGGCTGAGGCCCTTCCTGAGAGGCCACACGAGGCCGCGTGGGGACAGAGGGTGACCGACAGTGCTGCATGGGGCCAGCAGCCTGGGGGAGGGGGGAGGCGCGAGTCTGGCCAGAGGTTTGGTGACACAAGAGCGTGGTTGGGTGTCCCACCCCCACGGCCAGACCCTTCCCGGGAGCGGCCCGAGGGTGGCCGTGGGGCAGCGGGGCTTGTGCAGTGGCCCGGCTCCCCACTCGGCTGACTCCAGCAGCTGCTTTAGGCTTCCTGACGCGCCCGCGGCCCTCGGGTCCCTTCAGCCGCCCCCTCGCCTCCTCGCTTCATTATCAAGCAGGAAACAGGCAGCAGAGGCTGACTCGCTCCCGGGCTCCCAGGAGGCCTGAGAGGTGCGAGCACTTGGCAGCTCAGACCCTGTCGCCCGTTACAATCAAAGCCTAATTAGCTTTTTCCAGATTCCAGCTATTGTAACCAGTGTGGGATGGGGGGATGGGGGTGGGGGGCTACTGGGATCAGTGGTGGTGGAGAATGGGCACTGTGGAGGGGTGGGTCCTCGATTGTTGTTTGACTGAAATGTAATCACGAAAGCTTGTAAGTCTGTAACTGTACCTCACGGTGTTTCACTAATCAAAAATTTTTAAAAAGCCTAATTAGTCCATTTCATCAAAGGAGGGAACCGCTCTGTCACAGGGCACTGATCACGCGTGTGCAGATGCGGCCCCCCCAGTCCCTCAGACACACGACGGTCTGCAGATGTGGATGCTTCTAGGGTAAATCCAGAGGCGACGAGTGAGGCTCTAGGGGGCACCGCTCCTCCACAATCACTGCTCTAGCACTACCATCACCACCACCATCACCATCCTCACCACCATCATCACCATCATCACCACCATCACCACCACTATCACCATCATCACCACCATCACCATCATCACCACCACTATCACCATCATCACCACCATCACCATCATCACCACCATCATCACCATCATCACCATCATCACCACCACTATCACCATCATCACCACCATCACCATCATCACCACCATCATCGCCACCACTATCGCCATCATCACCACCATTATCACCATCACCACCATCATCACCACCATCACCATCATCATCACCATCATCACCATCACCATCATCATCACCATTATCACCATCAATCATCACCACCACCATCACCATCATCACCAACATCACCACCATCACCATCATCAGCAACACCACCACCACCATCATCACCATCACCATCACCACCATCACCATCACCATCACCACCATCACCATCATCACCACCATCATCACCATCATCACCACCATCATCACCATCATCACCACCATCATCGCCACCACTATCGCCATCATCACCACCATTATCACCATCACCACCATCATCATCACCACCATCACCATCATCATCACCATCCTCACCACCATCATCACCATCATCACCACCATCATCGCCACCACTATCGCCATCATTACCACCATTATCACCATCACCACCATCATCATCACCACCATCATCACCATCATCACCATCACCATCACCATCACCATTATCACCACCATCACCATTATCACCATCAATCATCACCACCACCATCACCATCATCACCAACATCACCACCACCATCATCACCATCACCATCACCACCATCACCATCATCACCACCACTATCACCATCATCACCACCATCACCACCATCATCACCACCATCACCATCATCATCATCATCATCACCATCATCACCACCACTATCACCATCATCACCACCATCACCATCATCATCATCATCATCACCATCATCACCACCACCATCACCATCATCATCATCATCATCACCACCATCACGATCAATGAAATCACTATCCCATTGTCACTGCCACCCCTTCTCAGTGTCCACTGTGACCACCACCACCGTCATTCCCATCAGAGACACCACCACGCACCCACCCCTGGTGTCACTGTCACCCTGTCATCCTCATCCCGCTGGGCACCAGATACCCCTGAGGCTTGGCTAGGACTATCCCCACACTGCGCTGAGAAGCTCAGAGCCTAGCGCGTTGCCTGGTGCCCATGCAGCCCCCAAGGGAACAGCTTAGCGTGTGCCCTGAGAGCCCCCAGCTCTGCTGCCCCGCGCTGCCCCGACACCTGTGCCCGGGCAGAGGGGGCTTCTCCATGCAATGAGCCTGGTCAGAGGCAGAGAGGACTGGGGTCCAGCTGGGACCCTGCACCCTGCACACAAGGCCAGCAGGGGCTGGGCTGCACATGCACCCCGACCCATCCTTCTCCCCTGGGGCACAGCCAAGGGCCACGCGGCCAGGGACATAACGCAGGGGTGAAGGTGGCTGCCTCGTGTGCCCAGACCGGGGACATCACTCAGCTCTGAGGTCCCCAGAGGGGTGGCCCCTGTGACCCTGCCTGGCTGGCAGAGAATGGCCGATGCTCCGGGCCCCACCATCAGACCATGGGGAGGGTCCGCGGGGTTGCCGAGGCCACAGAACACCCCACCTCGGGCTGCCGTCAGCTGGGGACGGGGCCAGGCCCTGAGCACGCGACCCTTCGCAGCGGCCTGGGAGATGACACGGACAGCCCGGGAGGGCCCTGTGGCTGACGTGGCTCTGGGTGCTCCAGGGCCCCCTTGGGTGCCTGCAGGGGCCACCCAGAGGGCTGGTGGGGGCAACACCGCTCCAGCTGCCCTGGCCTTGTGGACACGAGGCTGTATGGGCACTCGTGGTTCCGCTATGGTCTGGGCCCAGCTGAGACATGGCGGCAGTGTCTTTGGCCCCATAGGGTCGAACTACTGACCATCGTGTGTGGGGACCGCAGGGTCTTCCCGGGACCCCTGCCCAGCTCCACGGCCAGGTGGGGCGTGACCCAGACAACAGCCCAGCTGGCACCACCACCGGTAGGCACAGAGGCTGCCTCAGGCGCCCATCACAGCCACCCACGAGGACCAGCTTGTCCCGGGTAATTTCCAGCGACAGGAAACAGGTTTTTCTGTCGTGGGCTTTCTCCAGATTCTGAGCTGAGCTATGGCCGTGCTGGGCGGGGACAGGGCGCCTCCTCCAGGCAGCAATTAGGCACAGACGTGGGTCATGACGCCCGGGGAGCCCAGGGGCCCCGCTCGGGGGCTGATGTGTGAGGACCCCGGGAAAGTAACCCCCATCCCGAGAGAGGAAGAGGCGGGGGTGTGAGGAGGAACAGGAGGGTGCCCAGCCGGGAACAAAAGGCAGATGCCCACTCCCTCCCCGACAAGCACCGGCCATGCTGTCCAGCTCGCTGACCGGGAGACCCAGGACCCCTTCCTCGGACACAGCGGCGTCAACAGTGTCAGGCGACGCCAGCCAGGGCCCCCCAGTCCTGGCCAGGAAGTGGGTGGGTGCGGGGCTGACGCCCTGATGCGTAAGGAAGTGCCCCCCTTGGGAGGGCTGCCTGCGGAGAAGGGGTCCCGGGGGAGGGGGCGTGCGGGGCGGTGGGGCGCAGCACACTGACCTGGTTGTAGAGGGCGCAGATGTGCAGGGCCGTGTTCCCCGACGCGTTCTGGGCACCCATGTCGGCCCCATAGAACAGCAGCTGCTCCAGGTGCTGCACGTGACCGTACCTGCAGGCCTGAGGCGGGGGCTCGTGGGTGGGGACGCAGGGGAATCCGGGAACCCCCGGAGACCCTGCATGGGAGACCCCCCCGGAGACCCCGCATGGGAGACACCCCGAGATCCCGCATGGGAGACCCGGGACCCCCCGGACACCCCACATGGGAGACCCTGGGGCCCTCCGGAGACCCCACAGGGAGACCCCGAGGCCTGGGGCCCCTCAGGAGACCCTGCGGTACAGCTGGGACCCCATATGGGAGACCTCGAGGGCTGGGACTCCTCAGGAGACAGCGCTGGGAATGCGTCTGCCAGGACAGGCCAGGCACCCCACATAGGGTCTGTGGGGGTCTCAATGACCAAGAATGTAAGGCAAGGGCGGGGGTGAGGCTGAGTCACCGTGTCTGTCAACTGTCAACTGTCAACAGTCAACTGTCTCCTCTCACACAGCCTCCCTGACTGTGTCCCTGAGGGGACGGACTCTCCTTCACAATGTTCCTGAGAAGATGGACCCTCTCTGACAGTGTCCCTTGAGGGAACAGACCCTCCCTGACTGTCCCCTGAAGGGAAAGACCCTCCCTGACCATGTCCCTGAAGGGGCAGGCCCTTTCTGAGGGTCCCTGAGGGGACAGATCCTCCCTGACACAGTGTCCCCTGAGGGGACGCGGTGGGTGCTGGGCCCTGTGTCACCGGACAGGATGGCAGGACTCAGCGTCAGGCTGACCCGTGAAGCTTCAGCTGGAGCAATTGGGCAGACGCCCGACCCTGAAGGGCTGATGGGAGGAGAGACCCAGTGGGGTCTCCCATGTCCAAGGGTGAGGCCGGTCCATCCTCAGCATTTCCGGGGTGCCTGGGACCCCCGGTGCCTCTGGGGTCCTCCCTGTCGTGGTGGAGAGGGAATGTGGGGACAGACACAAAGGCCTCCCCAGTGCCCGTGTTCCCCACTGTGGGTGACAAGTGGCCCCCACTTTGTAACTGGACCCGTGTTCCCAGGCACGGGATGGGACGGCTGCCAGGCAGCGCGGGGTAGGGGTGTGTGTGTGTGTGTGTGTGTGTGTGTGTGTGTGGAGGGGGCGAGGTCCAGCACTAGCGTCACTGCCAGGCACAGGGAGGGGACAAGGTGCCCCCTCCCGGCCCTGTGCTGCCACCTGCCGGCCACCCATGGGACTGCATCTGCTCGGGGGTCCTCAGCCAACCAACAGGGCTGGTGGGTCTGGGCACCTCCACCCGGGCTCCGCTGGCATGAATGGGGCGACAGTGAATCCACCTTTCGGCCTGGGGTCCGGGGGGCTCCTCCTGCAGCGGCCATGGCAAAGACAGGGGCTGGCTACCCCTCTGCTCTTCTGCAGTCCTGGCCCTGGCGCTGGCCCTTAGGACAGTGGTCACCCCCCTCCCCTTGTGGGGGCAGGGCCCAAGCCTCCTGCATAGACCTCAGCCCCCAGACTCTGGGACTCCATCACTGGGGGTGCCTCTCGCTGAGGGCTGCCCCACTCCCCACATGTAAGAGTACCAGCTCTCCGGGACACCCAAGCTGCGGGTGCCCCAACTCTGATGCCAGGCTGCTGCCCAGCACCCCAGTCTCTGCAAGGAAGTCAGGAGCGCGGGTTTCTAGGAAGATGGGGAGGCGCAAACCCCTCAGAGGGTCTGTAGGAGACCCCGGGAGGCTGGGATGGGCTGGGTGCCCCTCTGGGTGACAGGCAGGGCACAGGCGGAGGCACTGGACCTAGGTTCACGCCAGGACTAAAGAAGGGGCAGAACCCGGGGTCTCCCTAGGATGTGAGTTGAACTGGGTCTACCAGGAGAGCAGCGAGACACGTTCAGGGTCCTCTGGGTCCCTGCGGATGGGTGGGGCATGCCGCCCCCGCCCCGGAAGAGGCGGGGCCTGCGGGCCCGGCGCACCTGGTGGATCTCATGCCAGCCGTTCTCATCCGGGCAGCAGAGGGTCGCGTGCTCGTGCAGAAGCAGCTCACAGCAGCCGGGGTCGCCCCCCACGATGGCTGTGTGGTACAGGGGCGTCAGCCCACAGCTGTCCTTATAGTCGGGGGACGCGCCGAGCTCCAGCAGGGTCTGCAAGAGCGAGAGGTGGGGTCAGCCCTGCTCCTGCAGCCCGGCTCGCAGCGGGCCAGCTCCTGGCAGTTTGCAGACGTGGTGGGCGCCGCGATGGGAGGCAGATGGTGGGGTCCCCAAGGCGGGGGACAGCAGCAGTGAGGCTGGGCCTGCATCTGGCCTCCGGCTCCTTCCCGGAGCCAGACCTGGGCGCCTTAGCCTGTGGTCTGTCTCTCCCCTAGGGAAGTCTCCTGGGTCAGGGTCACTGCTGTGGGTAGCGCCAGGCTCCGGGGCAGGGCTGGGCACGGGGAGGGGCGTGGCTTCAGGGCGGGGCTTGGGCAGGACAAGGCCTGTGAGGTGGGCGGGGTGGGGGTGGGGCTAGGGCCCGTGGGCAGTGGCATGTGGGCGGGGCTGGAAGTGGCTTGTGGGAGGATCTGGGCTGGGGGCAGGGCGGGAAGCAGCACATGGGTGGGGCTAGAAGTGGAGTGTGAGCGGGGCCAACTGGGGTCAGTACTGGACAAGGTGGGGCTGGGGCGTCTTGGCGTGGGGGGGGGCGGTTGGCTAGGGCCGGGCGGGACTTGGCTCAGGGGCGGGGCAGAGCTGAGAGCTGCACTGGGCGGGGCTTGGCTGGGGAGGGGAGGGGCAGGGCCTGCTAGGGGCGGGGCTTGGCTTGAGGGAGGGCGGGGCCTGCTGGGCAGGGCAGGACTTGACTGGGGTGGGGCGGGGTTGAGAGTTGCGCTGGGCGGGGCTTCACGGGGGGCGGGGCTGAGAGCTGCGGCTGGGCGGGGCTTGGCTGGGGCGGGGCGGGGCTGAGAGCTGCCGTGGGCGGGGCTTGGCTGGGGCGGGCCCAGAGCGGGGCGCGGACCCACCTTCAGGGCCGGCAGGTTGCTGGCCCGGGCTGCCCGGTGCAGGGCGGTCATCCCATCCTTGGCGCGGAAGTCCAGGTGCGCCCCGCCGTTGCGGAGCGCTTTGATCAGCTCCGCGGGGTCGTCCAGCTGAGCGGCCAGGGTCAGGGGCGTCTCTGGGGGCCCAAACACCTGCGCTCAGAGCCGGCACCAGGCACGGCGGCTCACCAAGGCCAAGTTGGAGCCCCGCTCCTGCCAACCCCCCTGCACATGGCTCAGCCCACCTCCATCCCACCCCACCCCCACATGGGGGCCGAGACCCTCCAGGAGGCTGGCGCTCACTAGCCGGGAAGGACGGTGGCCCTGCAGAGCGACACGGGCTGACCCGGGCGCAGGTGCCCAGCCCACAAGTCTGCAAGGTGCCTGGGTTTTGGGGCTTTCCTCAGCCTAAGCCCCTGTCTGCGCTCACACTGGCAGGGAGCACAGCAGGGACCCTTCCTGCTGAGCCTGAAGACCCGCTTGCTCTCGCCCAACTGCTGGGGAGCTGCCACCCACAGACCCTGCAGGATGGTGGGCAGGTGGGGCTGAGACACCCGGAGAGCCAGCAGGGGGTGCTGGTGCCCCTAGGTCAGGTCTTGGATTGGGACGGTGCGGGGGTGGGGGAGAGGGGCAGGGCCCCCGCAGTACCTGCCTCTGCACCTGTGTCCTCAGAGAGAGCAGGACACCCAAGACTAATTCCCTCACCACCCCTATCACCGGAAACCTCATTTTAAGCAGACAGAAAGCACCCCACAATTGTACCCAAGACCCTTCGACAACCCCCACCCTGGGCTATTCCAGTGCCCTCACCCACTTTGGGAAAAATGGGCCACGTGCATCTAGGGTATGGGGTAGGTGAAACCCACACAAAGAGTGTCCCATGGGGCTGGGCTGGGGTCCTCCAGGACAGGAGCCGATTAGGGAGATGGGGGGGGAGAGAGGGAGAGATGGAGGTAGGGGGAGAGAGAGAAAGAGAGAGGGAGGGAGGGAAAGAGGGAGGGGGAAAGAGGAAGGGAGAGAGAAACGGGGTGGGGGGAGCCGGTGTGGCTTAGATGGCTGATGAGGGACAGATGGATGCATGACTGATGGAAGGCTGAGCAGGTGGGGGTGTCTGGCTGGGGGAACAGGAAGGGGAGAGGGAGGGAGGCCGGGGGCGGGGGCGAGGCAGCAGGCGGAGGTGGGGACACTCTCATGCACACACAGTTCAGCTGGTGAGGACCAGCCCCCGGGCTCATGCACACGCCCCACAGACCACGCCGACTTCCCCTTCTTCAGAATCACTTCCATGGCAGAGCGAGAGCACAGCAGGGAAGGCGCTGGCCTTGCACGTGGCTGACCCGGGTTCAATCCCCGGCATCCCACACGGTCCCTAAGCTCCACCAGGAGTGAGCCCGGAGCACGCAGCCCGGAGTGGTCCCTGTCACTACCCACTGGGGCCAAAGGACTAGCAATCAAATAAAAGCGCTTCCTGGGTGTAAGCTCCAGCCACCAGAGCCATGAGCACGCCCAGAGTGACAGCACAGGAAGGAAGCATTGAGCCCCAGGAACCTGAAATAAATCCCCCCAGACTTGGAACGGGGCAGGGGAGTCCATCAGTCTCTCTGGCCACTTTCTGGAACCTCCCATCCGTGCTGCGAATGTGCCTCTGAGCCCGCCATGTTCCAAGTCAGCAGGGACAGCGGGCACCCACGACCCAGAAACACCCCCGTGAAGCCCAGGTTCTAGAAACAAACCAACTGTGTTTGTGGCCATGTGGCCAGCCCTCCTGGGGGCACTTCGGGGAGACCCCGCCCCAGCCTTGTGACTCCGCTGAGGAAACTGGGAATTCCACCAGGCGCTCAGGAACGGGCATGGGGGGTTCACACCACAGCTCCCCTCCAGCCATAGCATGTCTGTGATTCCCCCACCAAGGGCATCCCAGGGGCTGTGATCTCTGGGGACCCCCCCTGGGGTCCCTTCTGGGGAGAGGGAGAGACGGCGGGTCCTTAGCACAGAAGCCAGTGTGACAGGCAAGCTGGCAGCTTCCGACCCACAGATCCCTGAGACTCTAATTGGGCATCCTGGGAGCGGGGACGCGTCCCTGGAGCCTGCGCGGTGGTGGGGGCTGGAGGATGCCGGCTGGCTGCAGAGTCTAGGCCTGGGCTCTAGCCCCCCTGGCGGCCCGGTAAGCCCCGTGGCCCTCGGGTCCCGGAGGCAGCCACGCCCCAGGCTTCCTGCTGGTTCTGGGGCCACAGGGCGAAGTAGACCCTCGGTGCTGGCTGCCCGCCTAAGCCCCCAACACCACCACCTTGTCCTCGATGTCCCAGCCACGGCTGAGGCAGCCTGGGCCCTGGGGGCATCTGCTTTCATCCTCACTGTCTGGGGAACTTTCCACCGAGCAGGAGGTGGCCAGCGCCAGTCCCCGAGCCCCACGGCTGTATCCCCCGCCCCACCGCCCCAAGGCATATACCAAGCTCAGGAAGGGGCTGCTCCCAGCCTCCTGGGGGGGGGGCTGTGCATGCCCGTGTTCCATGCATGACAGTGTCCTGTACATACCATGTCCCATATGTCCCTGACATGCTGCATGTCCCGAGTGTCCTGTGTGTGGTACTCTGGCTTTGAGTGTCCCCTGCACAGAAGGTGCATGTGTACCCCCTGCTGCTGTCTCAGAGCCCAAGGGCGACCCTCCTGAGGGGCCTGGCACCCCGACTGCCCCACTCTCTGAACTGCACATGATCACGGGCATGCCAAGCACTTAGCACGGGGGTTGTGGTGGGGCAGCAGACTGGCCTCTGCCTGCCCCCGACCCGCACCCTGGCTCTCCTGCACCCCAGGTCACTGCGGACATTTCTCAGCACCCCCGAAAGAGCCTGGGACCCACCCCAGGGGAGCTGGCCAGTCGTAAGGGGACAGTGGAGAACAGCACAGGAGTGGCAGGACGGACCCCCACTCCACACGCTCCCCGGTGGGCGTTCCCAGGGCAGTGTGGGGACAGACGTGGCTGCTCAACTGTCCTCTGGGGAGATAAGGCTGCAGGTGTGGGGGGCGACAGGGTTTCAGGCTGGAGTCACGTCCCCAGGCACACAGTGCCGGTCCCGGCTCAGCGGGGGAGTCACGGAGACCAGGCTCACCAGAGTCTAGTGACAGTGTCCCCGGACACAGCCACACCCACCTCCTGTCTCCAGGTCGTGGAAGTTGGGGTCCAGACCGCGCTCCAGAACCTTGGCGACCTTGTCCACCGCACGGTGCTGCACGTGCTCCATGCATCTCCTCAGGTTGGTCTAAGAGGGAAGTCACGGCCTCTTAGCAAGAAGCGGCTTCCTGCCATGCTCGCGCTGCCCTGAGCACTGCCCCTTGCAGAAGTGGACCCTGAGCGGGATGGGAAGCCACCTTCTGGCCCAGACTGTAGGTGACCCTGGCTGTTGGGACTCGAGTGAGGGCAGGACACAGTCCCGTAAGCTCTGGCACACACCAATAGTCCCTGCAACCCCTGACCTTTTGCCACGCCCCGTACTGCCCTGTGTCCACCGACAGCCTCCGCACTGCGGGAGCCCATGCCCAGCAGTCCTGCTGCTCCCAGCACAGCCTGTGCCCACCCATATGCCCCGCCCACAGTCCCATCCTCCCAGCCCACCCAAAGCCCCGCCCCCATCCCCACCCTCTCAGCCCGCCCTCCCAGCCCAACCAAAGCCCCGCCCACAGCCCCGCCCTCTCAGCCCACCCAGCCCACCTTCCCAGCCCGCCCACAGCCCCAGCCTCGGTCCAACACATGCCCCATCCACCACCATGCCCCGCCCACCCACACGCCCCGCCCACACGCCCTGCTCCTCCACACGCCCCTCCCATTCACGCGCCCTGCCCACCCCCATGCCCCGCCCATCCATACACCCCGCCCACCCCTTTGCACACACTCTTATACCCATACACCCACACCCACACCCCGCATGCTCACGCCCCCATGCCCACACCCCCCACACCCCCATGCCCCCATCCTTGCTGTTCCTGAGAAGCATGGAGGGTTCATCCTCGGACTGCCCCCTCCAGACACAGCCTGGGGCTAGGCGTGGGGTCAGAGGGCAGGTTCCTGGGTCTTAGCCAATCCGATCCTTCTGTTCGGCCGAGCAGGTGATGCATGAAGGGGGGCTCTGGTGGACCCCTGGCACCGTAGGCAGCTGTGGTTGTCAGGCCCGGGGCGGGACCCCTGTGCCTGACAACGGTCAGGCGCCGCACACACCCATTCCCCAGGCCCAGGCTCCGGGGCAGTGGGCGGGTGGTCACCCGGGCAGGTTCCCAGCACCCCGCCCGGGCCTCACCTTGGAGTGCAGCTTGGCCAGCTGCTTCTCATCCAGGCTCGCCTGCTTGTACACTCGCTTCTTGTAGCGAAACTGGGGCGGAGACAAGGGGAGGGGGACGCGGGTGAGGATGAGGTGGGCTGCGGGGAGCCCCGGGCGGCACCCCAGCACCCTCCCCGGAGCACCCGTGCCGAGTATCTGCAGCGGGAAGGCCACGGCAGCCCCAGGACCCAGGAAACTCCTCTGGTCACCGCGGCTTGGCTGGCACCGCATTCCCGATGTGGGTCCCCGGGGGAGGGGCTGCTTCCTGGGTGCCACCCACCCCGTTCTGGCAGCTCTGTCAAGGCGTGGGGAGCACCGCTTCAGGTCTGTGCTCCCACGGCGCCTCCTGCAGCCGGGGGTGATGGGCAGGGGGCCGTGAGCTCTGCTATCACGGGGCAGGCGCGTCCAGTCCTCGGCACGTGGAGGCCATGTCCCCCTGCTGCCCCCTGCCACCCCACACACTTGCCTCCCTCAGCCCCTCCGGGGCCCCAATTCCACCCTGGAGTGTTCCAGGCACAGTGGGGGGGGCATGGACCGTGTGAAAAGAGACGAAGCCGGTCGTGGGGGCCACGGGGGTCCAGAAGCCCGTTCCACACGCGCTGCCCCCAGACAGGGCCGTCCCGGGTGGGACAGCGGCGTATGAGGCCAGTGGCCCGCACCGAGGACTGTTGCCCCTGCCGCCCTCAAGCCTGGTCGTGGAGGGGGACGTCCCCAGACGGCCAGTGGCCCCTACCTCCAGCGAGGGCACGCCCTTGCCCGCGGGCTGCGGGTACTCGCGCAGGAGCCGCTCCTCGTCCAGGAACTTGCCGTCGCGCCCGTGGCTGGCCGGCTGGAAGAGCCCATAATTGAGCACGTCCTTCAGGCTCTGGTTCAGGGAGCACAGGACGCGCTGCTTGGCCGCCCACACCGTGGCGTCGGGGTTGAAGCGCAGGCACTTCTGCGGGAGGAGGCCGCGGGTCAGGCGCCCCGCACTGGCCACAGTCAGGGGCACCCCACAATGGCCACGGTCAGGGGCACCCCGCAGTAGCCACAGGCCAGGGGCACTCCACCCTGGTGATGGTCAGGGGCACCCCACAATGGCCATGGTCAGGGGCACCCTGCGCTGGCCACAGTCATGGGTTCCCCGCGCTGGCCACGGTCAGGGGCACCCCGCAGTAGCCGCATGTCAGGGACACTCCATGCTGGACATGGTCAGGAGCATCCCATGCTGACCATGGTCAGGGGCACCCCACACTGGTCATGGTCAGGGGTTCCCCATGCTGGCCATGGTCAGGAACACACCTCAGTAGCTGTAGGTCAGGGTGACTCCATACTGGTCACAGTCAGGGGCACCCTGTGCTGGCCACAGTCAGGGGCATTCCCCCCCCAGTAGCTATGGTCAGGGGCACCCCATGGCAGCCATGGTCAGGAGCATTCCCCCCAGTGGCCGCGCGTATGTCCCACCCAAGCAGTGGCCAGGGCCCTGGGGGCAGGCGGCACGGACAAGCCCTTCCACAGGGCCACTTGGAGCCAGGCCCAGCAGGTGAAGGTCAGGCCCCCTGAATGCGCGGGCCACGGCAGTGATGCAGTGGGGACGCAGGGTCACCGGCTCCGGTCAGCACGGACACTGGTCACCACCCAGGAGAGGAGCCGACTCAGCAGGGCAGAGGGAGGGAGGGAGGGTCAGACCGAGGGACTGTCTCAGGGGCAGTGACCCCCTAAAGGGCGCCCTGGCAGGGCCTGAGGGCAGGAAGGCGGGCGGCAACGGGGAGTCGGGGCAGGAGGGCTCCTGGGTGCGGGGAGGACGGGGAGCCCCCTCTGTGGCGGGGTTCAAGGGCACCCCGGTGGTTGCAGATGGCTAACGGGAGAGCTGGAGGGGGGAGCCTGGGATGCCCCTGGCCCCGCCCTCCATGCACAGCCCCCCCCCATAGCCGGGGGGGGGCAGCCGGAGAGGGACGGGGGTGGGGGTGAGGACTTCCCAGGTTCCTGCCCCCCAGGAAGACGCCGCGAGCCCCGTGGTGGGAGACGCGGCTGTGCTGTCCTTGGGATGCTCACGGTCACAGCCCCGCCCGGCCCCCGACCCCCGTGCTGCCTGTCCACCCTCAGAGACACAGGTTGGGGGACCCAAGCCTGCACGCGGGGAGGGCGTCCCCCAAGCGGCCCCTCGGGTCACCCGCGCCAGGATGCGCTGTAGCAGGGGTGAGGAGGGCGGAGCAGGAGTGTCACGCGCCTCTTATTTTGAGAAGCCGCCGCCAAGGTCGCTGAAGGTTGGGGACACCTGCCCGCATGAGCGATGGCCGAGGGGGCGTGGGCAGCGAGCGGGTCCAGCTGCGGCTTGGGGGACAGTGGGCGAGGGTCTTGGGCTGCCTCTGGGGTGGGGAGAGCGCCCAGGGGACACCCATGCAGTGAGGGGGGGACAGGGACACAGCCCGGATCTATGAGTCGTCAGGGGGATGCCAGGCGCCCACCACACAGCAGGGGACCCCTCGACACCCACCCCTTCCCAGACGGGGCAGACCCCCGGAATGAGGCGCTGCCTCAACCTTGCCCCAAGGGCCGTGGGGACCCTGAGAGGGGCCTAGGGGAGGGGTGAGGACCACCACCGTCCCCTGCCCACCGCGGACATCAGAGGGCATCACCCTAGGCTAAAACTCAGTCCAGCAAAGGGGCTCGGAGCCCAGAGTCACCTCAGGGTCTCCTGACCACAGCTGGTCTGAGGGACACGCCTGGGCTGAGGGGACACTCATGGGCTGAGGGAGCACATCTGGTCTGAGGGGACGCATTTGGTCTGATGAAGTAAACCTGGTCTGAGGGAGACACCCAGTCTGAGGGGACACACCCCGTCTAAGCGGACACACCCGATCTGAGGGGACACTCATAGTCTGAGGGACACACCTGGTCAGAGGGGACACTCATGGGCTGAGGGAGCACATCTGGTCTGAGGGGACGCATTTGGTCTGATGAAGTAAACCTGGTCTGAGGGAGACACCCAGTCTGAGGGGACACACCCCGTCTAAGCGGACACACCCGATCTGAGGGGACACTCATAGTCTGAGGGACACACCTGGTCTGAGGGGACACTCATGGGCTGAGGGAGCACATCTGGTCTGAGGGGACGCATTTGGTCTGATGAAGTAAACCTGGTCTGAGGGAGACACCCAGTCTGAGGGGACACACCCGGTCTAAGCGGACACACCCGATCTGAGGGGACACTCATAGTCTGAGGGACACACCTGGTCTGAGGGGACACTCGTGGGCTGAGGGAGCACATCTGGCCTGAGAGGACACATTTGGTCTGATGAAGTATACCTGGTCTGAGGGGACACACCCCATCTGAAGGACACACCCCATCTGAGGCACACACCCGGTCTGAGGGAGCACCCTCCATGCACCCTACAACAGCAGGCCCTGGGGTGCACCCTGAGTCCCCGAGCAGGATCGGGGCAGCAGCCCACACTGTGCAACAGGGTCACACGTGACCCCACTCCAGGACTTGGGACGGGTAGGGTGAGCAGAGGCCAGAGGGAGGACGCTCGAGCTGACCAGTGCCCTCCAGTGTTGCACACGGCCCCGCAAGTCCCAAGGCAGAAAATGGGCTCAGCCTAGAGTTTCCCTCAGGGACCCAAGAGACCAGTTCCTGCCTCCCCACGTGACAGGCCGGGAGGGGGGACAGAGGTGACCCCTCCGGGATGGGCTGTGCCCCAGCAGGGAGGAGATCCGGGGCACAGCATTGGAACATCTCAGAAGAGGCAGGGCCCTGGAGACCTTTCTAGAACCTTCACCTCTGAAGGGCCCCAGACAGGACGGGGTGGAGGGGAGGGGCGTTGGGGATTGAGTGCAAGGTGTCCAGGCCGACCAACGGTGACCCACCGTCACTCCGACGCAGACCAGCCGCCTCCCAGTGGGCACCGGTCTGTGGAGGGGGGGGCCGCATCCAGAGACATGGCTTCAGAGTGTGAGGACTCAGGGACATAGTCAAGGCCACGAGGGGCAGGAGGACCGGAGCAGCACAGAGGGCGGGGGCGGGGAATCGGGACCCCCCTGCCCACCCAGAATCACGCGCATCTGACAGGAGCCCATGACTGGGCGCTGGCCTGCGTGCTGAGATGTGTCACCCCCAAACCTCACTGGTGGCGCCAGGTGGTCACTGATGGGCTGAGGGGCCACACTCTGAGGGGCCATGGCACACAGGCACTTCCATGGCCCTCTGAGGGCTCTGACTTCAGGGGGCTGGGGACGGGCCCCGCACCCCTCTCTCTGCAGCCTCGGTCTCACTGGCTACACTGGCCCCAGGTGAAAGGGTCAGTGCCAACATGGATGTGGAGGGTGCCTCTTGGGGGTCCCGTGCCCTCTTAGGGTCCACGACTGGGAGAGTCATGTCCACACTCCAGGCATCAATACTGTCCACTCAGAAACACAGAAACAGGCACTAAGCAGTCGGTGGGCCCAGAAACAAAGGGTGAGTGCCCGCTGCATCTGGGCAAGCGTCCAGACGGGGTGAGTGCCCGTTGCATCCTGGGCACCATCCAGGGAGGACCGCAATGCTCTGTAGCACGCCCTGAGGAAGCTGCCTCAGAGGCCCCCTGAAAACCCGCCTGACAACAGATTAGAGCCATTCCGGCGGGCCAGCACAGCAGAGGGGGGGACTGGGGGCCCCACAGACACAGTGAGACCCTCCAGGAATGGGCAACTCAGAGATCAGGGGTCAGTCGAAGGGTCCCTGGAAGTGCAAGAGCTGCAAGGGAAGGCTTTGGACCCAACAGAGCCCAGGGCAGGGTGCCACAGGATTGGGGGGCGTGCTCCTTTGCCCTGGATGCTCCTCCATGCTGAGGGTATGCTGGAGGCACAGGCAGGGTGCAGGGTGCAGGGGGCCAGCGGCACAGAGGGGCCAGTGCCATGTGGATGGAGAGGGACCATGGTGAGGGCGGGACTGACGGGCTGGGCGGGGCCGGTGGGCGGGGCCGTGCGGAAAGGGCGGGGCCTTGGGTTGAGCCGGTGGGCGGGGCCATGTGGGAAGGGCGGGGCCTTGGGGATAGGGTCGGTGGGCGGGGCGAGGCCTGCAGATGGGGCAGGGGCCTGCAGGCAGGGTGGGCCTGTGGGCAGGGTGGGGTGGGACTGCAGGTGGGGTGGGCGGGGCCAGCGGGGCAGGGCGGGGCCAATGGGCGGGGCCTACAGGGTGGGGCGGGGCTGACAGGGCCAGTGGGTGGGGCCGGCAAGCCAGGGCCGGTGGGCGGGGCGGGGCAGAGCTGGGCCTGTGGGCAGGATGGGGAAGGACCTGGAGGTAGGGTGGGGCGGGGCTTGTCGGTGGGGCGGGGCCATGTGGGCAGGGCGGACTATGGGAGGTGGATGGGGCGGGCCAGTGGAACAGGGCGGGACCAGTGGGCGGGGCCTACAGGGTGGGGCGGGGCCGGCAGGGCCAGTGGGCGGGGCCGGCAAGCTAGGGCCGGTGGGCGGGGCCGGCAAGCCAGGGCCGGTGGGCGGGGCGGGGCAGGGCTGGGCCTGTGGGCAGGGTGGGGAAGGACCTGGAGGTAGGGTGGGGCGGGGCTTGCCGGTGGGGCGGGGCCATGTGGGCAGGGCGGACTATGGGAGGTGGATGGGGCGGGCCAGTGGAACAGGGCGGGACCAGTGGGCGGGGCCTACAGGGCGGGGCGGGGCTGACAGGGCCAGTGGGCGGGGCCGGCGGGGCGGGGCCAGTGGGCGGGGCGGCGAGTCAGGGCGGGGCCAGCGGGGAAGGGGGTGCAGGGCGGGGCAGGGCTGGGGGGCGGGAGGACCTTGCCGCGGTTGGGGCGTCCCCCTGCGCGAGCGCGCTCACCGTCTGCTGCAGGTCGTGGATGAGGATGCGGATGACCAGCGTGTGCTCCTGGCTCTCCTGCACCCTGGCGGCGACCGGCTTCCCGGAGGCCGCGCGGATGGTGTCATAGACCGTCTCCTCCTTGGAGCTGTCCGACTCGGAGCCCGCCGAGTAGTCGGAGAAGCTCTGGGCCATCTCGTCCTCGCTGGACGTGGGGCTGCGCGGCATCGCGGCTAGAGCTGCGGGAGGCGGGGGAGCAGTGAGGAAGGGGGGCGGGGCGGGGGCGCCAGGGCCGGGCACCGCCCACATGGACCGGCGGGGACCACCCACGGGTGCCGCAGCTCTGACTCTGCAGTGTGCGGACAGGCCGTGGGTTGGGTCCGGCAGGCTTCCGTTGGGAAGGACCTTGAGTCCAGGCCCCTCTGGACAGACCCTGAGTCCAGGCCCAGTGGGAGGACCTTGAGTCCAGGCCCCGGGAAGGACCCTGAGTCCAGGCCCCTGGAAGGACCCTGAGTCCAGGCCCTGGGGAGGACTCAAAGTCCAGGCCCTGCAGCACTGGCTCAGAGCTGGGTGTCCGGGAAGCAGAGGGGCCCCAGCAGAACCACATGGTGCAGCCCTGGTCGCGGTGTCATCCTGGCAGCCCCACGCCAGACCCAGGCCCACGTGCAAGTACTGGGACACCCCTGAGCCACCGCCTGCTCCAGGCGGGTGGGGGGGGGACACCTCACAGCGTCCCGGCCCCCGAGCGACCCCCTACGTGACTAGAGACACCACACCCCTGCTGTCTCCCCGCTTCCCACTCTACAGCGGGTGGGTGGGTGGGTGGGCCTGCAACTACTCAGCACGGCCCTCCTGCACCAGACACAAAGGGGGTGCTCAGGTGCTGGAGCAGCTTTCGAGGCAGAGGGTGGGCGGGATCAGACCACTGCAGGCCGGCCACAGGATGCAGCAGGGTGGACGGCAGGGGCAGGGTAGAGCCGCATGAAGGAGAGACGCAAGGGTGCAGACTCCATCTGCAGTGCTCACTCGGCAGGACCAGACGGGATGTTCAGACCCAGCTGAGTTCCAACTCGGCTCAGAAACGGCTCAGAGACAGACCTGACCCCGCGAGGTTGGACATGCAGCCCTGCCCGTCCAGCCGCACCCTGAGGACACTGGCCCGGACACTGGCCGTTGGGTCGGGCTGATGGTCACTTGTGAATGCGGGCCCAGGTCCCCACCGTGGTTCTGTCCAGGGTGCTCCTTGGAGCCGGGGCGGGGCGCTGGACCCTGAGCAGGGGTCTGCAGGGGGCCCCCTTGGTCGCCGCGGAGTGTGGGAAGCGAGTGCCCGGCAGCGCGTGGTCAGTAACTGCTGGGCCGGTGCCAGGGCCGAGGCGCCCACTGATACTCGCACCTGGCCAAGGTGCAGGTTCTGCTGCATGTCACTGAGCTCCAGACGGTTCCACTAGGGGCTTCTCCCGTCCCTGCAGCTCACCACTCCCCAGGCCCACGCTGGGCCTGGGCACCTGGGCGCAGGTGAGGGAACTGAGGGAGTCCGGGGGACAGAGGGACGGAATGGTCCCAGTGAGCAGAGGCCAGGGCAGGCCCCCCTGGGAGAGAAGCACCAGTGTGGATGGGACCCCAGGAAAAGCCACGCCAGGCCCGGACACCACACCAGCGAGACCCGGATCCTGGGAAAGTCCAAAACCTCAGCTGGATGGAGTCCAGTGGGTCCCGTGGCCAGCGCAGCCAGGCAGGAGGACACGAGGGAGGAGCCACGTGGGCCCCGGTCCCTGCCCACGTGGGCCAGGAAGCGACCCCAGAGTACGGCCTTGTCCCTGCTACCTGTGATGACCCTCTGTGCCGGGACCTGTATCCATCTCTCGTGATGGCCCTGTGCTAGGACTTGACCCCTGTGACAGATGGGCAGAGCCCGCTGCTGGCCACGCAGAAAGACCTGGCTGCTGGTCCCTCTCCTGGGGCAGTCACAGCCAGACGCGGTCCCCAGACCCCAGATCCCCGTGTGGGGGACACACTCCCAGTAAGCTTTGGGCTGAGGCCCCCACTGACTGCCCTGCTCACCCGCAAGTCCTGGAGCCCAAAGGGTGGACGGGGTAGCCCAGGTTGATCTGTCATGGAAGCACGGTGAGGTGCTGGCCGGAGGGGCCAGGGTCCCCGTGAGGCAAGTCCCCGGAGGGCCCGTCTGAGTCGCCCTAAGGGGCCTTGGCCAGCACCCCCCGCCATGCGATGCTTAGAGCTGCCTGCAGTGAAGTGCACTGTGCCCCCAAGCCCCGTGAGCCCAAACACCCATGCACATGCTTAGAGGGGCCCGAGGGACCAAGCTGGGGCCCAGTGGGGTCACGGTGCTGTGGGCATGATCCCACAGCTGCACCCTGCACTCTCAGGCTGGGGTCCCTCTCTGCCTCTGTCACACATATGCATAGTCACAAGCCACATGTGCATGTATGCAGAGCTCCACAGATACACACCACATGTGCATGCCCACACGTGTACATGCGTGTGCACACAACACACTCAGGTGTGCACACAGGCAGAGGTGTACATGCACATACATTACATGTGTACACACAACCAGGAGGTACACTGCTTCCCCCCCCCCCCCCATGGCAGCACCCCCCTTCTGTGCTGAGTCCCGGGAGCACTCCCAGGGCTGCGGGCACGGCGCCCCCATGGACACATGGGCTGACCCACTGCGGACAAGCACATGTGCCGATGGCGAACAGGCCTGGCTAGGGGGTCTCTGGGAGTCTGGGGGGGTCTCTGGGAGACAGAAAAGCCAGGAGCAGCCGCTGCCCTGGGAATGTGACCACCCTGCATCAGGGCAGGTGCGGTGGGCAGCCCTTCAGGAGGGGTTTGGACAGCGTCTCCGTGACCTCTGGAGCTGGAGCGATAGCACAGCGGTAGGGCGTTTGCCTTGCACGCAGCCAACCTGGCCGACCCGAGTTCGATTCCTCCGCCCCTCTCGGAGAGCCCGGCAAGCTACCGAGAGGATCTCGCCCGCACGGCAGAGCCTGGCAAGTCCCCGTGACGTATTCGATGTGCCAAACACAGTAACAACAAAGTCTCCAATGGAGACGTTACTGGGCCCACTCGAGCAAATCGATGAACAACGGGAGGGCCTTTACTTTACTCCGTAACCTTGGCATGGGCTGCACCACTGAAAAGAAGCATGGGAAGCCGAGCAGCCCTGGACACTCAAGTCTGCAGTGGACGGGCCCTTCCACGGGGCGCAGGGTCACCGGCCTCTGCTGTGTCCACCCTTTATGTCCCTTTGGTCTTTCTTTGTTTTCTGGCCGCCAAGAGTGACATGCAGCTTCTCGTGGGCACTGGTCAGGAGGAGGTGCCCTGCCCGGGCCCTTCACAGCATTCCCAGCCCTGCCCCTTAGCAGTCCACGCTTTCTGATTGACCTCCAGCTGGTGAGACTGAAAAGAACCGGCAGAATGTTCCAGAATGCGCCAGCCCCACCTCCCGTCGCACTTCCCAACCCCCAGCCCCCAGGTGGGAGGTGGGCCCAGCTGGAGGGACAGGCCTGCAGCTCACCAGCGTTGGCGTGGTGATGAAATCCGCCCTCCCCAAGGCCCCGGGCGCCCGGCATGGTCCCTTGCTTGACCTGCATTCATTCGAGATGTTTCCAACACTCCCCACTGCCCAGTTCTGGGGACGGTCATGAGATGCCCGTTTCCTGCCCCTGCAGCCGGGGCACACAGGACACCATCCTGGGGAGAGGACATTGGACGCAGCCACCGGGCAGCCCTGATCTCCCAGCTTCTGGGGGGGGTGGTCAAGACACACACCCCCAGAACCAACTGGCCCCATGACAGGAGGGTCTTTGCTCTGTCCCTGCACACGGCTTCCCTTCTGAGCTCGGGAGGCTGCAGCCTGGCCGCCGCTGGCCCTGAGCGACAGTGACCGCCCCGTCCCCCACTGCGCCTGAGCTCATGCAGACGTGGGCAGAAGCCAACCTCGGCCTGAGCAGAAAGTGCTGCTTCCCTGCAAATGAGACAAAACCAGATCTGCCCGCGTCCCCGAAGAACCGCTGGCGTCCAGGGACCTGATTCTGCAAAATTAAAAAGCCGAACTTCGCATTCCAGAGGCTGCAGTGCCGCCGACCCTCCTGGGCCTCCCTGTGGTCGGCGTGTGTCCCGGTCTGGGAGTGGGGAACCCAGACTGGGCCCTCCCTGATGCCCACATCCCAGGCTGGATGCCCAGGGCAGCACCCCTGGGCTCATGGTCACCTCCCTCCCGCTTCATCACCCCCACGCCTCCGCATCCTGTCTCTGGGCAGCCCCCTCAGGAGGAGGCTCGGTCCGCCCCGGGGGTCCCCCTGTTCCCACGCACTGGCCCCGCCCCCGATGGCCGCCCTGAGTCCCTGTTTGGACTCTCCTGGACAGACCCCGGAGTGGCCCTGGGTCTGCTGATGTCTCCCTCAACCCTGGGGCCTGCAGCGGGAGGACAAGGGGACACAGCGGCCACGAGACCCAGATCGGGTGTGTGTGTGTGGGGGGGGTGTCTGTGGGCATCGGTGTCCCCTGGGCAGCACAGTCCTGCAGCTGGTGGGTCCGTCTGCGATTGCTGACCAGTGGGCTGGGACCACAGGGCGCTGAGGGGAGCGGTCAGGGCTGGCCCGCCCTTGCCTCCCTGCCGGGAATGGGGCAGGGGCTTCTGCTCACTGGGGACCCCAGTGTGGGTGAGGGTGTGGGTTGGGGGACCCCAGGGTGGGGTGTGGGTGTGGGGTCAGTGTTAAACAGACTCGGCAACGGGCCGCCCACCTCAAGCAGGAGTACACATCGCCCACGCCCTCCCCGCCCCCCTCCCCCATGGTCACCCTGGGGCAGGCTGGGATGCCCCTGAAGCCACTCCTGCCCTGGGGGGGGGGATCTGCCCCTCAGGGTGTCTCTGGGCATTTAGGGGGCGGAACCTTCCAGATCACTGACTCCCCACTCCCCATCTCCGGACATGCAGAACACAAGTGTCATGACTACAATCAGGACGCCACCCATGGCCGCGGCCGGTCACTCTTAGGGCACCACATTCCACACTACTGACCTGATGCCTGCTGCTCCTGTCGAGGCCGCCCTCCACCCAGCCCAGACACGGACATGTCCACCTCTAGTTCCCAAAGAAGTGTCCTGTGGCCAGCACCGTCCCTGGTGGTCAGCACCTTTCCCTGTGGTCAGCACTGTCCCTAGTGGTCAGCACTGTCCTGGTGGTCAGCACCATCCCCAGT